TTCTGCAGTATCACAACAAAGGATGATAGGTTTCTTTTTTAATTTAATTAGTCCAAATAGAAGATTAAATATGACTGGAATGTAGAATGCCAATGTGTAAACAATGAGGCAAGTTGGTGAGTACAGCGACTTAATACTTTTTCTTTTTACATTAAAGCTAGATAATTTATTTTTGAAGTTCATAAATGGTTAATATTAAAAAAATTGTGAAAAATATTTTTATAACTTCTTGCCGTATTCTATTATTCCGACCATATTTCTTAAGTAATACTATTTCTATAACAACATAATTAGCATGAATCTAAAATTTTAGGGAAACTCTTTTGAACTTATGAATACAATCCCTTATTACATCCCTTATTATAAAAGATAGTCTCCTCTTTCAGAAAGCTGTCCTTTAGATGTAATTGTGGTTTTTTTTCTTAGTTTTGCTCAGGGATTTTCCTTTGTAAAGCAAAGTTATATGCATAAATAATAATTAGAGATTTTTTTTTTTTAAAAAAATCCTTCTTCCAGATTTGTCCCTTTTTTAGGTTTGTTCTTTTTTGTTTCAAACACAATTTGAAGCAACTATGTAAATTATTATTTGCTTTACTTTAGGATGAGTTCTCTATAGTTTGGATGCAGCAAGTTGATGGTAGAAAACGATAGGAAATAATACCCAAGTTTGATTAACTTATAATAGAGATAAGCAACACAACCAATACATCCACAATAGCTCCCTGACTAATTAAAAAAGATTAGATGCGTATCTAGCAAATTGCAAAGTGAAGTGTTGGCCTCATTTACAACAATGCCTCTGTGCTTCACAAAGGTATGCTTACAAAATAAAAATGTGCAATTGTAATCCTGTGTTTTGTTTTGAACCATGCCATATTTCATAGAAGAAAGAGCAAGTACTAGGCAGAGTTATCTCATTGCTCTGTCTTTCAATAGGGGAGTGTTTGTGACTGGCCCTTCTGTTGGTAACTTTCTCTCTCAATGTATTCAATCTTGTGGAATCCCAACTCACTATAATTCCATGTTCTGTCCCCGCTTCTCTGCTCGTTAACAGACGACAGGCAGACAAACTTAAAAGGAAAGAACTTTATCAGTCCTCGACTCAGACTGGCTGCGAGCCCAAAAATAAACATAAACAAAGTCTCTGACAGAATGCAAAACAAAACTCTTATGGCAAAACCAGGTGTCCAAAAAGAAAGCAAAGCACTTCTCCAAGTGTCTCTTTGAATCAGGGTTACAGAAAGCAAATCACTTCTCCAAGTGTCTCTCACAAATAAACCACGACCTAGGATCAATGAATGTTGAACGAAACGAGTGAACGTTGACTCCTGCAACCAGGGCCTGGCACCATCCGTCCTTTTATCACCAGAAGACACCACTAATGAGCCCCAGCTGCATTGTTAATCTTGCATCCCGAAAATACTCACAGGAGATGTCTGCTGAGTCACAACAATTCCATATGCACTTTTCAGAGCAATGGGTTATCTGTTTCTGAGCTATAGTTTCTACTGCTGTGGTCCTCTAGCAGTCTGCGGACCTCGCAGAAAAGTTGGACAGCGAAGAGGTTGGGGAAGAACATGGGCCAGTCCTGGAATCTGGGGAAGACTCAGATGAGGGGTATGCATCGGAGGCAGAGAGCGGCCAGGGCCATCTGGGAGTTATGTGCTGCCTCCAGAGCCTCCAGAGTCGAACAGCAGTGAGGCAAAGAAACAGGCTCTCCCTGTTCCCAGTTGCACACATGTGCAGAACTGCCAGAAGGCAAGAACAGTTAAAACAGAAGAGACTATTCGGGAGTAAGGGTTGAAGGTGATTGGACTCTCCCATAGGACATAAAGGAGGGCTAAAGACACATGAGCCTTTGCAGGAAGCAACTTGGTTCATGCTGGTCATTTTACCTTCTGAAAATACTTTTGGACTCTTTGTTCCATGTGATCTTGCCAAGCTAATTGCTAATAAAGTCTTTGGCAACGTTTTCCAAGAAGATAAAGATGGGTGCTTATCAGCCTTATCCTGAACTTTGGCAGACTTTGGCAGCCTGCTACAGAACTCTTTACTACTATTTGGAACTCATTACGGGCTGTGAATGAATATAATTCATAGCCTTTGAAATAAAAAGAGTTTTTGGACTTAATCATGTGCATTTTACTGTATCAGGAAGCCTAGGTCAGAACATCTACAGGGTTCTTGATTCAAAACAATCAAGGGACCACATATAATCTATTTACTACCAGTGGCGTGACAGTGGGATTATTTATTATGCATTATTTGTGTATGTTTTTCACTGCCCTTTTTTTCTTTATATAAAGATTGACTGAGATATGTGGACTTCAAATCCCAGCATTCTCCAGTCAGCATGCTGTCTTACAATATTAATCTGTCCATGCTTTAAGGTAGACTCTGCCTCCATTGAGCAAAGCAAATCCTGAAAAATAGCTGTAACTTCAGCTGTAACTTCAGTAGATTTTAATAGATCCTTCAGATCCTAAAGTTTTGTTAGATGGAAATTGCTGATTATGCTTTGGAAACTGATTGTGACAATATCACTGTTTTTCTCTTTGAGCAGATCACAGTGTTTTTAATTCACCACCCATTAAAAGTGTTGAGATTTTTCACAAAAGCAGAAAGAACATTATATTAAGGAAATTGGAAATTCTCCAGAATTGGTGCTAGCAGGCACAATTTTGTTAGGTAGAATAGTTGCGATCTTTCAGCAATTCTATACCATGTCTCTCTGGGTAAAACAAATAACAGAAATGGAACAGGAGCAGGTTTAGTAGAAAAAAGATAAAAAAATCTCTAGATGTTTATAGGGGTCTAAAAGTAATTATTAAAATGCAAAATTAAGTTATGATGTACAGACACATGAATATAGAAAAGTGTGTTTTTCTTTGCTCTGGGGCATGTTTTATAAGGTTTCTGTCAGGCAATATTGGGTCTTTAAGTGATGATCCTGCTCTTTTAATAGATAATAGGACAAGAAACATTTAGTTACGATAAGGATTTGTATTTTAGAATAGCTTTAGGGAACTTTACCAGCTGGCCAATTATTGGTTTGTTTAAAAAAAAGTCTCACAAAAAACTGCAATTTCATTTGGGTCAGCTCTTATGGATTTTTTTCCCCTAAAGGAGAAAAAGTTAAAATTATTGAGGACTTTTTAAACTTGCTTATTGCTCTCTTTCTTAGAATAGACATACATTGAAACACAAACAGATGGGCCACATCTAATTGTCAGATGGGGTTCTAGTGCTTGCTGTCTGTGAATCTGACAAAAATATAAGCCAGCATGTATTTATAGTTATCTAACCTTGCTTAGCATTGCGAAGGTGTATAATAAGCAGTGAATGTTGAAAGTTTTTAAAAAGTTAATCATTAAGTTTATTTCTATAACTTCTTCCACAAAAGCTTAGTACAGGTGAAACTCGAAAAATTAGAATATCGTGCAAAAGTTCATTTATTTCAGTAATGCAACTTAAAAGGTGAAA